TTTCCGCCATTTTGTGGGCGTGGCAGTGGGCCGATTTTGCCCATCTTCGAACTTAACCTTCTTATGGAGCCAAGAAATACGTGTACCAAGTTTAAGATGATATCTCAATATTTACTCAAGTTACAGCTTGCACGGACGGACGGACAGACGAACGGGAAGTATAAGTTAAGGATTTGCAAGGGCGCGTCATTTTGAAAACGAAAAAATATCCGTAAATGTACAAAACATTTATTCAAAAGTTGAATTTCGTGTAAATAGTGTAGTAGTACAAGTGTTTTGCATAATTGTTTTGAGAAAGCGGATGGTTTAATGTATTAAATCCATTATGCTGGAATGAAATGCAAGTGCCAATGTGAGCTTCGAATTGTTTGCATTGTGATTTTGTACCTTTCGAATGATTAATGATTAATTCTAATTACTATCTTGTGACATAGTCAAGATAAAGTAAGACTAAACTTTAAAGAAAATAATAAATAGTGAAGTTGTTATGAGGAAACTAAATTAAGTGTGAAGGAAATTGTATGAATAAAATCATTTACGCATGGTATCAAAATCGATTGGCTGCAACGCGTTTGCGTAGCACGTCAAGCTCGCATCATAAAACATATTAGCATAGTAAAGTGAAGGATAAACTTATTATTACTTGCTTTTTGATTTAATGAAATTACAGTAAGTACATTACAAACTGAAGAAGTGTAAGAATACTATATGAAAGTACAGCAATGAAGTATTGATATGAAATTAACGATATTTAAAAAAACTTAGAAAAGACAAGAATTTTATATCCGCTTTCTCCACGATGGGAAAAAAACCAAATTGATGTGATAGTGCACAAAGACAAGACAAAATATCTCCTGTCATCAAAACAAAAAAAAAAAAACAAAAAAAAACGCCGTCGTACTCCTAACTACGCTCCCAGCAACAAATCCGAAATTGTAGATAATTTCGTCTATCTTGGAACCAGCATTAACACCAACAAAAACGTCAGCATCGAAGTCCAAAGCTTACCAACAAGTGCTACTTTTCACTGAATGGACAATTGAGAAATAAAGACCTCTCTCGACGCACAAAGTTCAAATTCAACAATTTACTCATCATCCCCGAACTGCTATATGGTGCAGAGGCATGAACAATGCTAACATCTGATGATTCGGCGTTACGAGTTTATAAGAGTAAGGTTCTGCAGGACCATAAATCCCTTTGCGCAGTCGATGGAACGATAAACTATATGAGATATACGACGACATTGACATAGTTCAGCGAATTAAGAGACAGCACCTACGCTGGCTAGGTCATGTCGTTCTATTGGAAAAAAAAAACACTCCAGCTTTGAAAGTTTTTCACACCGTACCCGCCGGAGGAACCAGAGGAAGAGGAAGACTTCCCCTCCGTTGGAGGGAGTAGGTGGAGAAGGACCTGGCTGAACTTGGAATCTCCAATTGGCGGTAAATAGCGAAAAAGAAGAACGACTGGCGTGCTGTTGTAAACTCAGCTATAACCAATAAAGAAGAAGACTTTTCATTTACACCTACAAAGACGAGCAAAATTTCAAAGTTATGATTCTAATACATGCACTCTTTTTATTTCGAACACAACCTTATGTACATATGTACATATTAACTCTGCAGACCTATGCATATAGTGCAATTTGGTCTTCGCAGATGTTCAGCACATGATGACCCACAAATTGGCTTGACTAAGTCGTTCATCAAGTTTTTGCATTTGAGACCTACATATGGAGCTTGCTCATTTTGTGGTAATGGTCATAGTATTTTTCATGTCACTCACTTTGGCATTCTTATGAAAATTAATATTGCAGTTCCTTAAAAATCAGAATCGAACATTCGAAGGACCACATTAAAGAGGTCAAAAAGGACAAAAACTTCCTTTATAATATTGTGACTGGTGACGAAACGTGGTGTTTCCAATATGATCGCGAAACGAATCGCCAGAGTGCTGAATGGAAGGCACCTTACGAGCCAAAACGCAAAAATCGCGCATGGAGAAGTCAAAAGTGAAGACAATGCTGACTTGTTTTTATGATTACAAGGGTTTTGTCCACAAAGAATATGTTAGCTTGGAGTTTTGTGCATTTGGTGCGCCGTAGTTGGCATGTTCGGATCGAATATCGTGAAGATTTTCCGGAAGTTGGCGTTTGTTGCGCGATAATGGACCGTCTCATCGTTCGACGCTTGTGCCCGATTATTTGGCCAAAAATCAAATTTTAACCATTAACCACCCCCCGTATTCACCTGATATGACAACGTGCAATTTTTTCCTTTTCGGAAAAATGCATTTGCCTATGAAAGGAAAGCGTTATGTAGACGTAGAGGCCATTCAAAAGGCTTGCACTGGCATACTGACGGCCATACCCACAATGCTCAACGTCAGTTTACTTAGCCGTACGATGAATTGAAACTCTTTGTAGTTATTGTAAGAAAATGTCATTTTTTATACGACATTTTTGGAATTACCATTTCGGGGAAGTCAGAAAATATAAAACAAGCGCCTAAATGTATGATTTTGTGTGGTTAGTTATGCTTATTTGTTTGAATTTGAATTTTAGTGGTTTTTCAGAAGGTAAGCTTTAGTGCTCATACTCAATTTAACTCTTTTACGTTCTCTTTAAGTTTGATCGAAAACACTTCTGTATTCTCAGTTTTTTTTATTCACAGTTTTCGGTTGTGAATTTTCATTTATCCCTTTGTTTCAAGTTTATAACGATGCGAATGTGTCGTTTTTGTCGATGAAACTTTAATTTCCCCATTATTTAAAATCCAAACGTTCCCATTATTGTGTATAAATAATAAATCTTACCATAATCTCCTATTTGTTGCAGTTACGGTAAAAATAAATTCAGGGAAAATTTTTAAGGCTTAATATGGCGCATGTGCAATGAAAAGTACCACTCATTCATTATTGTGAGAGACTTACACTTGTTCACTACGTGCCCCAACTGGAGAAATTAACCCTTTAACAAAGCTTTTATGTTTCTTCGAATATTTGTATATAGAAATACAGTTTTAGCTATAGTAAGCAACGTTACCTGTTGGCTTTCTAAGCAAAAACGAGGGAGAAAACCAAATACACATTGTTGCAAACAAACTTGTTGTGTTTTGAATTTTAACGATTTACGTACAGCGAACATATGTATATGTAATGGTTCCGAGTGTTTGACGAGCAAGTCCGTTTGAATGAGTTTGAACAAACTTTCCTGTTGTTGTAGCGTGCGAATATCCTCCACGGTTTTCTGGCTTGAAAAAAGAAAGAAACAAAGTAAGCTGATACATTCGCAATGCAACCAGTTCTGAGTAAGCAACAATGTGTTTGTTTGACGGAAACGGAAATCTGCGATTAAATGGTTTAAAAAAAAAATAATAATTTTCATTAATTTAGATTTAAAATTTTTTAAAA